CTCTTACTCTCACAGCATCTGTGGCCTCTCACAGGAGGTGAGGCCTTTGAAATATGGAGTGGACATTTCAGTCTTGCAAAATCATTGTCACAAATCAACCACTGAGCTTGTTTCAGAACAACTTCCCTGCTTCAGAGTTCGGCCAATAGAAAATTTGACCAGGGTAGAAAGTGGGTCTTTGGTTACAAATGTGGTTGAGCCTCAGACAGAGGTGAAAATGGCCAAGGGGTTAAGAGAGGGCTCCAGAGCCAGACTCCCTGGATTCCAACGTGTCCGCTATTCCTCCGCCTTGCTGTGTCTCTTCAAGCTGGTGACTGAACTGCTCGGTGCCTTGATGTCCTCATGTGTGAAATGGACATTCTAACAGAACTTGCCTTATCGGGTGGCTATGAAATAACTTATCCTTAGGACATTGTCATAGTGATTGGTGATGATGACAATGGTAGTGGATGAGGGGGAGGAGATGGGTGAAGGGAGATCCATTTATATACATACAAAAGCTGACCTGATCTGGTGATATATGGTTAACAGAAAGCTGTTTCCAAAAAGAGTCTGAGTCACTTTTTTTCTTTAACTAAAAATGCACTTGTCGATGGTATTTCGTCTGATCTTTGCTGACTCTAGGCAGGGACCTTACACTGAGGCAATCGCTTTGAAAAGTTCTAAATAAAACAACTGCCCAACGACAGAAAGGCCTCTCCTCTGTGTGTGCCTCACCCACATTTTGATGGAAGCACCAGAGATCCTCAGTCTCCGGGGTGGGAGCTGGCATGTGCAGCAGCGAGTTGGCCCAGCCGGGCCCCCGACATAGGACACAGAGCAGGTACGCAGCCAGGTGGGCTCTCCCAGAGCCAGACCCAGCACCCTGAAAAGTCTGGGCCTTTCTGATGTGTTTTCAAGGTGCAGACATTATTTGATTCTAGAACTGGCATCTGTTAGGGCAGTCAGACTCCTTTCTAAGGGGTGGCTAAACGACATCACCCCATCAGGCATTTCCCAAGGCCTCCAAATGAGAAAGGAGCCTGCCCACCTGGGATCCTTCTATAAGTTGGGCGGGGGGGCACTCAGGAGAACCATCCACACCCACACACACAACAGGGTGATCTAAGGAATTGTACAGGGACATCTCTGATGGAAGACCACCCTATCAGACCAGATAATGCCCAAGAAGTTCTGAGAAAAAAAGAAAGGCAAGCAATGTAGTATCAGAACTTTAGAGGGTCTGGTGGGCATTCACAAATTGCCATTTTTAAACCTCAAATGACCGTTAATGTTCATTGTTTCGTGAAGTACGGGAGCTGGTAATATCTAAACGGACAGAAAAATGACAGAGATAAGAATGGTTGGCCGGGCTCAGTGGCTCAGCCTGTAATCCCGCGCCTTTGGGAGGCTGAGGTGAGTGGATTGCCTGAGCCCGCGGGTTCGAGACCCGCCTGGGCAGCGAGACCTCATTTCTACAATAAATCAAAAAATCAGCCGGGCGTGGTTGCGCATGCCTGTAATTCCGGCTACCTGGAAGGCTGAGGTGGAAGTTTTACCGGAGCCCAGCAGGCGAGGCTGCGGTGGCTGGGAGCGGCCACTGCACTCCAGTCTGGGCGACCGAGTGAGACTCCAACTCAAAAAAAAAAAAAAAAGAATGGTTGGAACCTGGTTCTTCCTCTTACTAGCTCTGGGCACTCCTGTTTTCCCACGTGCTAAAATGAGTGTTTTATGTAACAGCATAGAGGCCCCTGACTCATGATGGTTATGGTGCCAAAGTGGTACACGTTCAGTAGAAACTCCCCTTCCAGTTCTCACACCACCATTCTGCTTTTCACATTAATACAGTATTCAATAAATCACAAGCTAGTCAATACTTTATTATAAACTAAACTGTGTGTTAAATGATTTTGTCCAACTGTAGGCTGAGCGTGTTTAAGGTAGGCTAGGCTGAGCTACAATGTTCAGTAGGCTAGGCGTATTAAACGCATTTCGACTTAAGGTATTTTCAATTTATGATGGATTTATCGGGATGTAACCCATTCGTAAGTTGAGTAGCATCTGTGTTTATTCAGGAGGCACCAAGAAGTTAGTAATGGCAGTGCTGGTCATGACAGAGCATGAGCATGTGGTTGGTGCTCGCCTGTGATTCCCCAACTCCTCAGACCGAGGAGTGGCACTGCTGACCATCCACCACTTTTTACAGATGTGGACAGGGAAGCTCAGAGAAATTAAGAGACCTGACCCAGTCTCATGGTTCATGAAACCCAGAGCTGAGATTTGAACCCAGGATCTTGGGGTACTCCTTCCATCGGGCCTTGCCAGGAGTGGTTCAGAAAGCAGTGGTTGAAAGATGGAATTGCTGGCTTTGAATGTAGACTGGAAGAACCTCTCCTGCCCCACCCCAAGGTCCCACACACCCCTGCCCCCAAACCGAGGCTCCTCCCTGCTCCCACCCTGAGGGTCCCCTCTCACCCAAGGCCAATGTATGAGGCCTCTCGTAGGTCCTGTCATTTATTCCTCACAAACCACCCACTTGCACCACCCTGAGAGTGAGACCCCCTTCACTTTGGCCCCTGAGATACCTCCCTGGCCTCATGTGAGTCTGGGCTCCACCCCTCCCTCCCGCTGACATCCTCCTCACATCCCCACTCCTAACGTGCCCAGCACAGTGGTTACTCAAAAAAATGTGAACCGTGAAGGAATCCAAGAGGATTCTTACCTGAGTTGACAAAATATGTGACCCTCAAGGGAGGTATGGGCCCACCTCATTCTCAAGCTAATCCATATTGATTGACACCCTCATTGGCAGCCTGTGCTGGGCTGTGGACTTGGCCCCATGGGGCTGGGCCCACGGTGAACTCCCACAAGGGACCGGACAGTCACAACAGTTCAATGTGAGTATGGGAGTTCTTGACAGGGAAGCCAGCTTGGGCAGGGGGCAGAGTTCGTGAAAGACCAGGTGGTGAAGAGACTGAGAGAGCTTCCACACTGAGTGGGGGAGCACTATGCCTTAGGTCTGGAAACAAGAAAAAGAACAGCCTGTTCAAGGAGTAGAAACGAAGCCCACGTTACAGAAGCATTGAGTCCAGGAAGGGAATGAAGAGAGATCAGAAGGAAGGCAGGGACCAAGTCAGGAAGGGGCTTGAATGTGCCAGAAAGGTGTTTGGACTTGCTCCCGAGGGCCTGAGGGCCAGGCAGGGCTCAGCTGTGCGCTCCTGACACTGTCCCAGACCCTCTTCACTGAGGACATCAGGCTGGAGGCTTGGGGCCACCCACTGTCCCCACTCTGCTCCCTGCCTCCACCTTCTGCACAAAAACATATCCTGCCTCCACTCATGACTCTGGACAAGTGCGACCTTGGGCAAGTTACTTAATCTCTCTGAGTCTTAATTTCCTCCACTATAAAATGGAGTCATAATAGTTTCCCTGGAGTTACTGAGGGGATTAAATGAGATACGCACGTAAAGTGGTTGTACTATACTAGACACGGAGATTCTCAGAAATCGTGCTTGCCGTGACCCTTCCCTACACTGCACACACATCCACATTCATTCTATATTCCGCAGGAGGACACAGAGTCCCACGGATGACTGCAGTCATACAATCAAGCACGTCACATGCAAAAATGTACCAAGCTGCCTATTCTGTTCAGTACATGACCAGAGAGTCCTACAGACCTTCAGGGAGATATTGGTGAGTGTTTACAGAGGGCTCAGGCCGGTCGGTCACCAAGCTGATTCCTTCCAGAAGAACCATCTGTGATCTCCCAGATGCCTGATAAGCTGAAGACAGATGGGCTCAGGTTGGGACTGGCTCTGACTTCAATGCTACCCAGGGCGTCCTCCCCATCTGTGGCAGCATTTCAGCCCAGGAGACCACCCAGGGGAACAGGCCCATGTGCAAAACATCTGAGGAAGCACCCCTGCAGCCACAGGCCATTCTGAGTCATCACCTCTAATGGAGAAGGGAGGGAATGCAAAACACATGCTAAGAGCCAAAGGACTCACTGGCTCCTTCCTGACTCTACTAGGCCCTGCAACCAGAGAGCAAAGGGACGTGCCGGCATTGCAATGAGCCACAAACTGCTCAGCAGCCCAGCATCAACTGATGAGGGCTTTGCTTAACTGGACTGCCTCTGCATTTAAGTTGGCCCTTTGGCCTTCCACAGCCTCTCCAGTTACGAATTGGATCTTATCCATCTATTGACTGAGGAAGAACTAAGCTCTTAATCTGGAGAATGGAGCCTCCATCCTGTCCAAGGTCCTCTTTTTGAGTGTTGACAATTAAAAAGCCTTTGACTCTCTGCTCTTGGCATAAACAGACTCTTCTCTGGCATGTGCTCCCCATAGGGACCTAGGCCTGTGCACCCTTCCAAGTTCAAGTTTTACGACAGTCTTCTCGGGTCCGGCTTCCCAAATGTTTGGAGAGCTTTCACAGAAATAAAGGTGCATACAGCTGCTTCTGCTGCACCTGTTCAAGGACGTATCAAGGGGAGTCCTGCTCTAAACTCTGCAAGGCTTAAGGCCTACTTCTCATTTTAGGATCCAGGACAACTGAGGTCAGCTACAGCCTTGTGCATTCTGGGGACTTAGAACAGGTTCGTTCTTGGGTTGCCTCCTGGTCTCCTGAACTGTCTCCACCTCAGAAAGAGACCTGGCTCCTCCATGAAAGTTCTGGGGAAGAAGGGCCTGCGTCTGTCCTACTCTGGCCCACACACTTAGCAATGCCTGACATAGCTCAGGGGCCCCAAAATCTTAGTCAACAGACTCCCTTTTGTTTTAGAAGCTCTAATTTGAGCAACTGTCCTCGAATCCTATTTCATAAAGTCAGGGTGGCCAAACAGAGTTGTTCATAACATTGGTAAATCCCATGGGATGATTTTGAAATAACTCCTAAGACTAAGAGCTCAACCCTGTGAGGACAATGTGGTTGAATGAGGAGCTCATTGACAGTATAACCATTTCAAAAAGATTGCAACCAGCTGTTCACCAGGAAAGGAAAAGAAGCATGTCAGAAAGCAACGTATGAAGAAGTATTTTAATAGCTCAAACTCAAAGTCATCGTGCTCCCAATTCTGAAGAGATTCCTAAAAGAGGCAACTTTGGCCATTCCGGAAGCCAGCGTTCACCCACCCAGGGTCTCCGTGCATCAACCTCTGGGCGCTGACTCAGAGGAAAGCACAAACATGCCCAGTCCCATTCTGGCTCCCAGGGGGCCTTCTTCTTAGCTATGCATTGCATCAGCTGCATTAGTTGGACTAAGATGATGACTCAGTTAAAGGAGGAGACAAATGTTGACTGTCTAAGCAGGTACAGCCCAAGTGGGCAAGAAAAAGCACACTGCATACATAGGATACGGAAGGGCAGAGCTTCTGCCTGCGGATCTGCAACTTTACATTTGTTTCACCTGCAAACTATCAAGAAGGATTCTGTTGGCCAGGGAGTTTCCACCAAACAAGCAAAATGGTGGTCAAGAGTCTTGGATGTCCTGTGCCACAAGTCCAGAGTCCTCATGCGTCGTCCACTGGAGAGTCTTTGAGGAAAACATGAAGTCCAGCTCATGCCTCTGCCTATGGGTCAATTTCTTCAGGAATCACTGTAAGCATAATATCTTCATTGCCCCTACGGACCACCATGTTCAGGGTGTTTTCTTTTTTAATGACGTCACTGACATCATTGGCAGAGACCACTGACTGTCCATTGATGCTGATTATGACATCATTTTCCTTGAGACCACCACTGTAACACAAAGGGATACACAATGAGAATGTTTCCACTCCTCCTGGTCTAACTCTGTATCGACAGAAGCAAAGTTTAGGGCCTAAAAGCCTACAGCAAACAGGGCTGGGTGGTGATGACCTTAGGTGAGAATGTTTTAAAGCATCAGTGGATTGCATTCCTTTTGAAAAAAATAATGTTCTTTTTCTTTATTTCCTTCCTTTTTTTTTTCGAGTTGGAGGTCTCGCTGTGTTGCCCAGGCTGGTTGCAAGCTCCAGGCTCAAAAGATCCTCCTGCCTCAGCCTCCTGAGAAGCTGGGACTAAAGGTGCATGCCATCACACCCCACCCATTTTGAGATTTTTCTTTTTAGGCTAAATCATCACTTGTGTCCACTGCAGAAAAGCCTACCAGCACTTTTATGGCCTTATGACAGATTGACTCCAAAGGGGGCAAAGAGGTACCAGGTACCATGTGCTGTGGCCAGCATGCTTATAACGGGTATCGCACCTCAAACAGCAGTTCCTCGGGATGGGCAGAATACTTCCCTAAGGAGACACTTCCTTTGTGTTGTTGCCACTATAACTTTAGCTCTTATATAGGACAGTGTCAAAATGCTGTCATGGTCCTTAATGGTCTAGCACAAGGAGCTGCAAACTTTTTCTATAAAGGTTCAAATAGGAAATATTTTAGGCTTTGCAGGCCATAGGGTCAAAGCTACTCAACTCTGCTGTCACAGCACAAAAGCCATCATAGAAAATGTCACAGACACTATTTCACTGAATACTGAAATTTAAATTTCCCATAATTTTCACGTCACAAAATACTATTCATATTTCAGGAGTGTTTTAACCATTTAAAAATGCAAAAACTGGCCAGGCAAGGCGGCTTATGTCTGTAGCCTCAGTGGTTTGGGAGGCAATGGTAAGAGAACTGCTTGATACCAGAAGTTTGAGACCAGCCTAGGTAATAGTGAGACCTCGTTGTTACCAAAAATAAAAACAAAATGTGAAAGCTATTCTTAGCTCACGGGTCCATACAAAACCAGGCAGTGGGCCAGATCCGGCCCCCAGGGCATATCTGCCAGCCCCTGGTCTAGCCCTTCTCCCTGTATATGACGTCAATACAAGTAATAAGACCTGATAGTTGGTTGAGCTACTGCTTTGTGTGTTACTCTGATGTCACTTGAGTTATTTTTCTAGAGGTGTTGGCAGGTATGGCCTAACTGTCATAGACAATCTGAGAAGAGTTTAGGAGGAGATGGGTTCTGAAGCCTAGCACGAGACCATGGCCTGAGGTCTTGGGGATGCTGCTCCTTTAACCCTTCCTCCCCATCCAGGCCATCCCAGGAACTCATGACAAGTCAGCTCTCGCTCTGTCCATCTGGATGACCCCTAGCAGAGCGAGGACTTTGGAAGGCAGATAGAACCCTTCTGTTGAGTCCTGGCTGCACCAGGTCAGAAGGCCTGGCTGGCAGGAATTGTCCCAGGATGTCCCACCACATTTGTCAAGGATCAGCACAATTGACCAAACTGGTACAAAAGTAAAAGGACCACCACTCCCTCCCCCCAACTGCCTCCAGGAACCACAAGGAGATTAGGAAAAGAGAAAATGATTCGAACTCACGCTTCTGCTGGAGTATCAGGAATTACTTCAATGATATATGCTCCTGAGAGCACATCTGGGAAATCTTGGTGCCGATCCTTCAGCTCTTTGGCTTTGCTGCTCAAGAGATAAAGCACCCTTGTTACCATCGAGTAACAACAAGCCTTCCTTGGCCAAGACACAGCTCTCTAACATTCCCTTCTTATCCCTGAGTCTAAAGTAAAATTCCTACATCGGTCCTGATTCTACATTACAGTTGCCTGTCTACCAGAGTAAAAGATTTACTTGACAACAGCAAGATAAGCACTTTAATCACTGTTACTATTACATATTAATTAGTGAGTAGTAGCTACCACTAAAGAGACAGTAAAGTATAGTGGCTGGCCTGGTTGGCAGCCTAGTTCTGCTGCTTGCTATTGTACTTCCTTGGACAATTGTTCAACCTCTCTGTGCCTTTGTTTCTTCACCTACAGAATGGAGATGGTTAACAGTACTCTACAACTTGGGATATTCTGAGGATCAGATGAAGTCTTCTTGGTAAGACACCTGGTCCAGTGCCTGGCACAGAGTAAGCATGTGAGTGATGGTGGCTGTGGATCACTGCCACCGCTCCCTGACCTGAGCCTGGCCACACACCAGAACTTCCTGTGCTATCATCCTCATCCTGGAGGAGGAAAATGAGGTACTTAGAGGTCAAGTTGTTCCCAAGGTCACAAGGGGAGAAGGGTCAGAGCTGAGACGAGAACCCCAAAAGTCAGCCTCAGGGCCTACCATCTTTCCCTATACCTCTCACCTCCTAGTTCCAAAGACAAATAAGCAATGTGCACTTTGGTCTTGGTAAATCACCCCATCTTCTAGAGAACTAAGAAAAGTACCACCACTCACAATAAGTATCAAAATATATTCACACTTTAACAATTAGTTGTTAATTAATTCCTTATAGTAACAAACAGATCGTTAGATCTGTTCCTATATTCTGCTCTTTACCCTACTGTCCCCACACAGTTTCAGCCATACCAGCTGAATCCACTACCAGGACTCACGAGGTTACACCCCATTTTTTTCATCCAGGTTAAAATACTACGATGCCATGAGCCTGCCAACCACAGGCCATAATTCCACCAGCTCGGGGAAAACAAGCTCATCAGTCATTTGCTTCCCTCACGCCAGGCCTGACCTGGCATTCCTGGAGCCATGGCCCACGTGCTTCAGAGCTTATGAAAGTGGGTGGGGGGAGGGCTTGGGCCCCTCCTGGAATGTGGGTTTCAAAAGAACACATGGGGAAAGGAAGGCATGAGCCAGAGTGAACCAACCCTCCCACCCCCCGTTTAGGCCTGCCTTCAAAGAGGAGGACAGAATCCTCTAGACCAGAAGGAAAACCAGCTCAGAATGCAAAAATGAAGGATAACACAAAACAAAAAAGCCAAGGCTCACAGCCCATCCTCCTTCCCAATGTTACTTCATTGTAAGCAGAAACTGAGATGTCTTAAGGCAGCATAAGTCTTCTCTTTCAGGGGTGCCATGAGTACCTTCTGAAGTTCAGGTTTAAGATTTAAGACATAGACACACAACCTGTTTACCCACCTGGATGTAAGCGACATCATTCTGATACCAATATATTTCTTCTTGGTGATGGCTTTTCCTAGTGTGACAACGAAAGGACAACAGAAGGTCAGCTCAGTTGGTGGGTATACTGGGGGCAACCAGGAGCCAGGGGTCCAATCCCCCAGGTTGCAGTGTAAGGTAAGGGCCATAGGGGGATACACTGCGGTTCAGATTCTGGGCTGGATCCCTTTCTGCCAAACAACCTTGGGAAAAATCCCAACATTTAAGTTAATAATCAAAAACCTAGGAGCGATTCTTCATTCCTTATGGCCTCATTCTGACAGCTGGCCCTTCCCCACATATATCCAGAAATGTGTGACCCCTTTGCTCCACCTCCACTGCCCCCATCTTGGTCTGAGCTCTCCGTGTGTCTTGTCCAGCTGACTGGGAGAGCCTTTTAACTGGTCCCCAACTTCCACCACCCCCACTATTGGTCTCCACTCAAACCACCAAAGTGACCTTTCAATAACATCAATTGGATCATGAACTTCGCTGTTCTCAAGGCAGTTAGAATGCAGCCCTCCACCCCACGACCTGCTGTGAGCCTGCTCACCTGCCCCTGACCAGCTTTCCACACCCACCCTGGGCAACTCCACGCTGTCACTGTGCTAGAGGCCCACTGGCTGCTCTAGGGGCCTTGTACTTGCTCAGCTATGCCTGATCTGCTGTTGTTGTCTGAAATGTCCCCCTTACACCCCCTCACAGACTTCTTCTCACTCAGACCTCAGCTTAGGAGGCATTTCCTGGCTATACCATCTCTACCAGCCACCCCCCTCCCCAAACTCTACCACTTCCTAGCTGACAACCCTGCTCCATTTTCTTGGAAGCATTTATTGTTCTCTGCTATTATCTTATCTGTTTGATTGTTTACTGTCAACCAACCCCTCCCACAGCAAAACAAAATGTCACACCTTCAAGGGTCCCAGTCCAGTAGTCCATTGCTAAGCCCCCAGCCTGACTCAGAGCAGATGGCTCAATAGACATTTGTAAATGAATGATTGCCCTGAATGTAAGTTTTCTCATCAACAAAATGGCACTGATAATTCCTACCTGATAAGGGAAAAGTAATTAAGTGGCATAAGTGAATAATTAAGTGAAATAATATACAGAAATCACCTAGGATCCTGCCCAGCACGTAGATTAAATCATGCGAAATTCCCATGATCCTCAGACAAAAATGCTCAGACATCTGTGACATAATACCAGGAACTTAATAATGTGCATTCCCCTTCGCTTCTTGATAGGAGTCAGCTTGCATGGTCTTAGAGGCTGCTGTTTTTTCCAACTCTAAGTCTTCAAGGAGCAACTGGGCCTCAGACCTGAATCTCCAGAGGCCCTCCGCCCCTGCCACCCCAGGCTGTGTGGACCTTGCTCATTTACCTTTGGCCTGTCGGTCATGGGATTCCGTGAGGAACTTTTTAATCTTATCAGATGGGATTGCAAAGGAGATTCCAGCTGTCACTTTGAGAGTGTTAATTCCAATCACTTCACCGTCCTGAAAAGCAAGGAGGACACGGCTTACTGAATCACGAAGGCTCACTAGCAGGTACACACCAAAAGAGAGTGGAGAATTCGTATGAAAGAAATCTTGGAGCTATTTCAGAAGGAGGAGGTCCCAGGGGAGCTGGGGTGAAGGCATCAGGACTCTTGGGCATCATAAGGCATGCTCAGCTGTAAAAGAATCAGCACACACTCCAGTTGTCACTCAGCGATCAAACTACATAAGTTTCTCCTTTCATAAGATATATGTTTCCCATCTAAAACACTAAGACCCCAACAGATAAATGGGCAAAGCAAAAAAAAAGAAAGAAAAAAAATATGCTTCCAAAGTCTCTGAGTCCTACAGGTGGCTCCCACACCTACCCGCTTCTCCTATTTCTAACGATCTTAGGATGACTCTGCTGACGTCAGGTAGAAACACCCTTAGAGCTTAGGACTGTTGTGCATCATGACCAGGAAAGTGCATCTCCACCTGGGCAGCAGTCCCAGGGTGCTGCAGAGGGCTGGGAGAAGACAGCAGGCAGAGCAGGGAGCACAATCACCCCTCATTTCCTCACTAGGAAGGGAAAGCTGCCAAGAGATTCTACGTCGCTCCTCGCCCCCATCCTGAGAGGGCTGAGGTCTCCATTCCTGACACCCAGAGGCCATCTAGGAGGCATTGCCATCCCAGCCCTTGCCAAAGACAACTTCGATCTCATCATCTATAAATGACCCCTGAGCTGCCCTATAGTTCTGACAGTCTGTGTTCTAAGGCTTGGTTTCTTAGGCTTAAGTATTTAAGTACAGACTAAAGTGATAACTTTGTGGGTGGGTAACTCCTCCTCATTCCAGTCAGGCCTTAAGGGAGGATCCCTGGCCAAGAGAAAGAGTGTGGAGGAGCCCAGTCAGTTCCTGCAGCAGCCCAGGAGACTTAATTTGCAGGTGGTTTTCAGTGACCAGCACTAGGGATGCCCTCACTGTGAAGGCCTGCCCTTCGCTGGTCCTGCATTTTACTGTATTTACCTATAACTTTGAAACACAAAGGTGTTCTCTGGCATAACATTTCCAATCCTCAACTCCAGCATGCCTGACTCTACACAGAAAAGATCAGCAGGGTGGTTTGCAAGGCCACAGTACCGTCACAGGATCACTTTAAAATAATGAGATAACGTGCTTTGGTAAGCTCATGTTTGAAAAGAGGTGGGGGGAGATAGCACGTACACAGATAAAAACAAACAGCACAACAGAGGTATTAAAAGGCCTTACCAGGTTTACCAATGGGCCTCCCGAGTTTCCATACTGCAATTAAACAGAAATAGGCAGGTTACGAGTTTGTGTCGTAACAGTCCAATCTACTTCCCTGCCTGGCCGTTTCCTGGATGTGGTGCCTAGAGTTTGGGGCATGGTTCTTCCCTGAGATTTGTTCCCATCAACCTAACATTTTGCTGTGGGAAAAATGACCTTAACAGTTCTCAGAAAATTTCGGATGTGCCCTAAATGGGGTTTTTGCTCTCAAGCCCAGAGGTCAACGGTGATCCCCCTAAAGCACCTAACTTTTCCTTCCAGGAACGAGGCTGGCTGACCATCTGCTCTGGTTTCACGGTAATTCAGATCTGCACAGCCTCCTCTTGTGTGGCCCCTGCCCTGCTGCTGGCACTGGAATACACATGGGTTGGTTCCATTTCACTACTTCATGCGGACTGCAAGAAAGTTTAGGGATAAAACCTCTGCTGTTCCTCTCCTCTAGCGGAACCCTGTCTCAACCCCACCGGGCTGGAGGGACGAGAACTCACATTGATGATGGCATCTGTCTGAATGTAGTCCATGTCCGAGTTCCGAAGCCCGAGTTCTTTGCCACCTCGCTGTGTGGTGCTGACGATCCCAGTGGTGACCGTGTTTTGAAGGGAAAACGGGCTTCCGATGGCGACCACAAACTCTCCCGGCCGTAGCTCTGAGGAGCGGCCAAGCAACAGAACGGGCAGCTTACCCTGGAACCACAATGGCTGGGGTTGCTAAACACGTTTAATTTCACAAGATGGGTGAAGGCGTAAACATCACGGAATGCCAAGCAGGGACAGTGAGAGGCCATTCAGAAACACAAGGTCTGGCAAGGTACCAAGTCCGGGACATGTCCCTCTCCTGGGGGCAGGACCGCACTTTCCTTCCCACCCACGTCGCCCATACCTCGCAAGCTGTTAGGCAACAAGCGAGCACTGGGGCTGCACATCAAGGGAACCAGGGCAAGGTTCCTGGAGGTCATGTCGGGGTCCCATCTCATTTGGAAGCTGTCAGCACAGACGTGCTCCAAAACCTTAAGGCCAGGAGACAACGGGAGACAAGATGGAGGAGAATTTGGGCCAAGACTGCCTGGGGCAGTCTTACAGAGCCAAGCCCCAGGGAAGGATCCTGAGCCAGCACACCCCTTGGAGAAGGCAGTGAAACCTGCCTGACTTCATGTGCACACCCGCCCTGAGTCCTGGAGGCAGGGAATTGCATGGATGGGGTTCAGTGTGCACCTGCCCTGAGTACAGGGCAAAGCTGGGGAGGGGTAGGGATGGAAGGTGGGGACAGCATGGCCTCCAGGATCGGAGAGAGCAAGACCTGAGAGGTGGGTTGTCTCTCCTCCCTGAGAAAGTCCTTGTCAACCACCTCTGCTCCCCAACCTGGCCGGGCTGATTAGCCAACCCAAGACTCCCCAATCCTCAATATCCCGGGAAGGCCAGCAGTGCCACACAACTCTTCACAACAATGTAGGACAAAATAAAGCCAGCTCCAGCATTACTGGGGCCAAGGAGCTGGGGATAACCCTCATTCCATCAGGAAAGGCATTGAACCCTCTTCCCTCCCTTCTTCCCTCAGAGCCAAGCAAACCTTCTGAGTTCACTGAGTCAAAACGAGCAGCGGCCCCGACCAACACAGACCAAGCAAAGAGCCATCCCAGCCCTCATGCTATTGCAACTCAACAGCCTCATGTCTGTCCACCTTAAAAGAGAAGGGACCAAGGGGGGAAGGCATGTGGGGTAGGAAAAATCCAGGGGGTTATCTGAGCATCTTCTCTGCCATGGACAGAGGAGACACCAGCTGATGAGGTCAGGTAATCATCATGTGCATTTAACAGATGAAGAAACCGAGGCTCCAAAAGACAGGGTGACTTGAGACACAGCAGGGATTTAAACCTGGAACTGCAACTCTGAGCCCAGACTCTCTTGTCTACTATATAAATATTTGCAACACCACAAATATACCTTGAACACACACTGACTAAGGTAGGTGCTGGGTGAAAGAACTCACAGAGGGAGAAAGGAATGTTGAAGAAAGAGTCCAAGACTTAAAACTGACTACAAGAGACTGAGTGAGGAGACTGTCTCCCTCAGCTCACAGATACCAAGAGGTCAAGAGCACCTTCCATGGTCAAGAGCAAAGACCCAGGGCGAGGTTGCCTGATTTAGAATCAGGTCATGCAGGTCCTCAGTTTTCTTAACTGGAAAATGGGAACAATATAGTACACCCATCTCATTGGTCTACTATGGAAATGAATTGACTTAAGATCTGAACAGCTCTCTGAACACCAGAGAACTCATGCATGCATCGTCTAAGAGCTGGTTATTGTTATTAGTACTTGGGCCTGTACAAACCCAGTAGGGGGAATTCCACCATGTACTCTCTCATGAGCCGGTTTGAGTCACCCAATCATAGCACAGGTCTGTCCTGACAGTGACCCTTTCCCCTTGGGGTTGCCTGAGGCCAGGGAATTAGGGCTGCTGCAGGGAGGTGCAGGCCGCAGCATTCCCTATCGGCCACACATCCTCGGCTCATCGGCAGCCAGCAGTACACCAGTGAGCTCAGGGTATGGAGTGTTTACTCTGGGCCCTGTGCCAGCAGCCCCTGCCAGGAATGACTTCAGCACTCCCAGCACGGGGGCGGGGCAGCAGGCAGGGCTGGGATGCACACTAGGACACTCTGGGGGAGGTCTACCGGGGACACAGCCATTCCTTTAGGCCCTGGACTGGTTGGAGAGTCCTATCTTTGAGGCCTTCAGGGCTGGGCTTGTGGGGAGGCAAAGAGTGGCACAGGCTGCTGGGGCTGGGTGGGCCTGGCTGCCCAAGGAGGCAGAACCACACATAGGAGGTCAAGCTCAAACATGGGAAGGTGGGCCCAGCCTGCCTCAGATCAGCCACAGATTGGGAACCACGTCAGAAAGTTGGAAGGCAGGACTTGCTGTGGAGATCTGAATCTGCATTTCACTCGTCCCCCATCCCTGCCACCCACCGATGTCTTCTAGGAAGGAAGCCAGACTCAGACTCCATGTTGAGGGGCCGTAGAAGTCAGAGAAACCTCAGGGTTCCTCTCCTTACAATTCTCCTTTTCCACTGGGCTGAGTTCAGGCCCAGAGGATTTGGGCGGAGAAACAAATGCTTTGGGGAAGCCATAAGGACAGAGGGAAGAGATTCCCAGGAGGGACGCAGAATATGGAAGGCTAGCAAGCCACTCACCCACAGATGCTGCTCACCAAGCTCTTGAGGACGGCCAGGCCAGTGGGGGATGCCCCCAGCTGCTGAAAACAAGGCCCAGAACAAGCTTGGCTCAGTCAGACTCAGGTAACACATGGACTTGGACAAGGAGCCTCTCATGTGTCCAATGAGTCCTCACTTGGACACAGGAGCAAATGTGGGCACATGAGAGGCTACTGAGACAAGCCTGCACTGATGGGCAATGCCCATTATCACCTCTTTCAAGTTCTCATTCACTCAAACATTTCACAGGTTGCAGAAGGACAGTCGTAAGGCAGAATGAAGCAAGCAGACACATATGAGGGTTGGGGGAGGGTCTTATACCATAAACCCTGGATTTACATGAAAGGAATGAGCCTTTGTACCAGATTACAAGGTGCTTTCACCGCAACCTTAGGAGTTAGGGTATATTCCCCCAACCTGCATTTTACAGATGTGGAGACTGAGACTCAGAGATGGAGGGACTTCTCACAGCTGATAAGCAGCCTGGCTAAACAGGAGAACAGGCTTCCAGCTCTCAGACCTGCATTCCCAGGATGTGTTAACCCAGAATTCAAATTGTAAGCAGAACTCTCTGTGAGGGAGCGACACGACATGTTGCAGCGATGTCGGCCAGGTCAGATTTATGGCTCTCCATGAGGGGAAACTGACTTTGGGAGACCATTTGTGCCTGCTCCCTGCAGGTGCCGGCTGGCTGCAGGAGCAGCAGGCCCCTCGGCTCATTCCAGAGCCAAGTGGCGCTCCTTTCAGCTGCGAGCTTCACCCCAGGCCTGTCTGCTCGGCAGCTATACCTCCGCTGGCCAAATTCCTACTCGGTAATTGAGCATTTAATTCCATAGCTGTCTAGACATTAGCTCCACGGGGGGGGGAATCGAGGGGAGATGGAGTGCAGATATGGCTGGAAGTGCACAGCTACAGACGCCATGAAACCCCAGGGGGCCCAGCCATTCTTAGTCTAAGGCCCCTGCTGTCCCCCTGCTGGTTGCTGGTTCCCACACCACCCATGGCAAAGCATCTCCAGGCTGCAGACCCTTGCTCTGTCGGAGTCTCCCTTTGAAGCGGCACCAGCCACAGTCCATCTTGAAGGTGCTGGCCTCTTCTCGGGCCACTTCACTATCTCCCTGGAGCCTACCCATGTGCCTCAAATTAAACGGGGCAAGCATCCATCCTCCACTGACAGATGAGAAGGCCAAGGAGAAGAGGAAAAAGAGGGGGACATGCAGGTGCCAGTCCTCATGCCAGATTCTCACACTGCTAGGGGAAAAAGAAAGTGAAAGCTGGGTGTGAGTAAAAAAGCAGTGAGGTGGCAAAAACAAACTGCTGAGGTCCCACAGCACAGAGCTGAGACAGAGACCTCCAGGCCCTACCAGGAGAGCCTATAGCTCATGCTTGGCCCAGATTCTTCGGGGACAACAGACATTCCACAGGGAGCTCATCACTTGCCAGTTCCCACAGTGTTCGGAAGGGGAAACCTGGGAGGCCAGAAGGAGAGAAGAGACATCTAGAAAGAAAACAGCCACGCACCCCCAGCTGCAGGGACTCACAATGCTAAACAGTGTCCTCACAACAGAGACAATGAAGGTGGAACTTAAGAACACACAAACTCCCTAACACCCAAGTCAGCCTATTGCCACCCAGGTAGATGCCAGAGGAGAAGGTCACAAGTCCTGTGTAGACTCCAAGACTCCTCGCCATCTACGTAAATTACAAAATTCTAGCCACAGGCAATATACAGATTGTGGAATACACACAATACTAATACTTGGAAGAGGCTAGTTCAAACAGTCAAAAACAAACAGGCCTGGCAGCTCACCTTCACAAAACACTGTCTTCATAAAAGAAAACTTTCTCAACAAGCATTCATTGAGTGTATCCTATGTGCTTGGTGGAGGGAACACAAAGATTTAGAAAATCTACCCTTGCCCTCCAGGCTTCTGGCTGATGGGCAAAGAGACATATAAGCCAACAGGACACTCAGCAGAAAACAGAGACCAAGTCCATCTACCTCGCCATCGCAGCTCAGCCCAGAATCTTCCATAAAGGGCTAAACATAGATCAGCAAGAAAAATCATTTGTGTGTATTGGTTAGGGTGTTTTCAGCTATGAGTTACAAAAACAACAAAACTCAAAACAGAGTGCCTAGCCACCTATCCAAAGGCAAGTGTGTCAGGGAGGTTAACTCCAGTGGCTCAAGGACAAGCATCAAGTCAGAGGCTGCTTCCTTCTCTCTCTCCAATCAGCCTCAGGTTGTTTTCAGTGAGAAGACAACCACTGTCATTCCAGACACCAAGATGTGACAATGGCCACGGAAATATGTAACAGAAGTGCTTTAGGACACTCCCCATGGGTCCTCAGCAGCATCCAGTCATGAGGCCACCTCAGCCACCCTTTGGGAGGGAACATGGCCTTATACCCCTTGAATTTGCTCGAGTCAGGAATAGGGTGGGATCAGGAGTAGACCTAAAACAAACCCAGGA